TAGGAATGGTTGTCAAATCCACAATTACGAAGGAAGTTAAAGGGTTGACCTGAATCTACTTGAATTCATACTGATATGCATGATCCTTAACAAGAGCAAGGTCTGTCAAAGCTTTATGGTCACTACAGAGCTGAAGGTCACAATAGTATGCATTGTCCACATCTTCCTAAATATCGAGCGGGACAATAAAACCTTTGTATTATGTTATCATGTTGTTTTGTTGTATCAATCATTGGATAATTTATTTATGAACATCATTATCCATCTATATTTTTTTATTTTTCACACATAATTGCATACTACTTATAAATAACTTTTAACTAAACACAAATTCATACATATATTTAATAAAAATCAACATACAAAACAATTTTTTCTCTCATTCTTCTAGATTTCTACACAATTATTTTTTTCATTCTTCTCTATAAGACATTTGCTACGTCAAATCGATAACTCTTCATACTTCTTCTTCTCCTCCTCCTCCTCCTTCTTCTTCTCTTCTTCAAGTTTCATTCTCTCCTTATGTTGATCAAGTGTTGACTTCATAACCTCATTTACCTACTCATTTGAAGATGAGCTTGAATTTGAATTGCTTATGTTTGAGTAATCATACCCCAAATATGCCATTAATTTTTTTTGATAATATTCTTCCCAAAAATACATGATCTCAATCTCATGTACACTTTATCAACTCACCCAATCCTATTTATAATGAAAATTTTGTGAAAATAATTGTTGAAACCTGTCACCTCGACATGACAAGACGAGTTCCATCAATTCAAAAATTCATGTCATTGGTTTGCTAATGGCTATTAAGAGAACTCATCACCTCAGCATGACGAGTTTCATTTTTTTTGTAAAAAACAAAACAATTCAAAAAATTTAAAAAATATTTTAATGAAACTCATCAACTTAACATGACGAGTTTCGAGAAAAATAATTAAATATTCATGCATCGATTTAAAAATTATTTCTAACACAACTCATCTCCTTGAGGTGACGAGTTTCAGCTACATTGTAGTAAATATTGTAGATCCCAAAACAAACTACAATGTACCCTATTGAGCTAAATAATTAATTTTTTTGTTGTATTGGGCTAAAACACCTGACACATTATCCCTTGGTCCCCAAATGGGCTAAATCTAACTTTTTTTTAAGCACAATTTGAAATGAAATTTAAAATTCACCATATATTCTCAAAGTTATTTTTAAGGGTAAACTATACTGATTGTCTTATTTATTTTTGGTTTGATCGAATTTAGTCATTGATCCAAAAATTAAGTATGTTTGATTTCTTATGTTATTGTTTCTTTCAATTTTAGTCTTTCAACCGTTAACTTCGATCAACTCATTAACGAAAATCTAAACTGACAATTAAAAAATGGAAGTAAATCTAAAAAATCCATGTGTCATCATCATCATCTTCTTATTCTTTGATCCCTTACATTATCGTTCCATTCAATTTTAGTCCCTCGACCGTTAACTCCAATCAACCCATTAACGTAAGTTTGAGCTGGCAATAAAAAAAGTAAGAAGTAAAACTAAACGTTCGTTGTGTCACTATTATCATCATATTCTTCTTCTTAACCCATTAATGTAAGTTTGTTCTAGCAATTAAAAATAAAACTAAATAAATCTTCATGTCTTCTTCTTCTTTGATCCCTTATGTTATTGTTACATTCGATTTTAGTCCCTCGATCGTTAACTTCACTAAACCCCTTCTTCTTTTTCTTTTTCTTTTTCTTCTTTGATCCCTTACGTTATCGTTCCATTCAATTTTAATCCCTCGACTGTTAACTTCTATTTAAATGTACCCCTTCTTCTTCTTCTCTCGTGTCTTCTTATTTTTCTTTTTTTTCTTCTTCTTCTTCTTTCAAACTTCAATTTTAAAAACAAAAACTTATCAACAAAATTTGTTGGTTTGAAGCATAGCTAGAACTTCCTGCTGATATGGTTTATTTCTTTACGGTAAAATTTTGTATCAGTTGTTAATTCCATCTGTTAGAAACTTTGATGAGCCCAGCGCACCCCTATAGAGGACCTAGAATATGCCATTCACACTACACCAACACTTTTGATGTTGGTTAGCCTTTTATCTTTTAAATTCTTAGTGCACAATAATACTTAGACGGGAAGGCCAACCACATATCAATCAAGCGGTAGAGCCGACCATATAATAGAACTAACACAAGTGCACTAATAACTTAGAAACAACTAACGCTTATCTGGGAAACTTAAGAGAAGAGAAAACTTTTATTGATACAAAATACAATTACAATATTTCCGAGTTACCCCGTTACTTTACTATTTTCTATCTCTAAAGCTCTCTTTCTCTTGCTCACACTTTTGGCACATTTTTCTCACTTTTTCACTCTTACTACAATGGTAAAAACTCACCCCTTATTAATAGTTTTTAGTGACCATTAGATTATTGACACATGTCAACATCATAGCCATTTAACAATAAAAATATTTAGATTATTTTAATAGATAATTCTAGATATAATATTAAATAATACAAATATCTAGATTTTTCATGGATATTTCTACGCATCTACCATTTCTATATTATTCTAGAATATACCTAATATATATATACACACTAAATGACATATATTTCTTTAGGATTTGCATTGTCTTCTAACAGTTCTGCCTTTTTCTTAGCCACCGACGATATTAACCACTTCATGAGGGCGTGTCTAAGTGCTACCACGGTTTGGAAGGAGTTATTAAAGAAGATAAACTATCCGAGTTTTTAACGATTAATTTCGCGGATTGGGTGGTTATCAATCTCAAGGAGCTGACTCAGTTTGGTATAATCAATATTAATTGGGACCTTTTATTTGGAGCCATCCTTTGGAATCTTTGGCTTAACCGAAATGCCATGGTTTTGGCCTCTCCTAACGCTGACGATGGTAGCGTCCTTGATCGTAGTAAGCATATGCAGATGATTTCAATCTGAGCCAGCGAGGAAAATAAGAATGTCGAAAATACTGTAATGAACAGCCCATGTTGTTGGTTGCCTCCTCCTAGTCAGTGGATCAAAATCAATACTAATAGTGCACGTAGAGATGAAGTTGGCTTGGTTTCTTGTGGTAGTGTAGCTCGGGATGAGATGGGAAATTGGAAATTTGGCTTTACCAGGTTTATTAGGGCTTGAAGGTTATTGATGTTGAACTGTGGGGTGCCTTAATTGGCTTACAATTGTCCTAGAATGTTGGATTCCGGAGGATCATTCTTGAGGTGGATAGCCTTGAAGCCGTTAGCATTCTCCGTCACGACTATAAAGGTCATCACTTCTTAAACGAGCATTTTGGTGCTCTTCGCCAACGCGATTGGATGATCAAGGTGCAGCATGTTCGCCGTATATGGTGGTCGATATGCTTGCGAAGCTTGCTGGATCGATGAGCCTGACCACTATTGTGTTTGAAGAACCACCGGTGGGAGATGTTCTCTTGCTTACTGCTGATCTAAATAACACAGCTAATAACTACCTTTGTCTTTGTTTGCTGAAAAGTTAAACCCATTGTGGTTTTGTTTTTGTATTCTTTTCCTCCGACTAGGTTTAGGGGTTTTTATCGAGGCATATAATAGTATCATTTGTCCGTTATGAATTATATTATCTTATCAAAAAAATAATCTCTAAAAATTCGAATTCAAATATGATGTCTATAAAATATTTGTAATTCATTATTAAATGGTTAAAAATATTTCAAATAGATATCACTTTCTCTTTTTTTATTTAGACTATATTAATTTATTAAATTTGGTTTATGCAATATAAAGTTACAAATTATTAGTATAATAAAATTACTCTTGTTTTAAATATTTTTAGTTTTAACTTATATAAAATCATGATACTATTATAATTCTTCTTTTCATTAAAATTTATATATTAGTTTGTAAATATATGATGTCAATAAATTTGTAAATCAGAATTATAATAATCAATAAAAAATGTGTATTATCAACTATAATTATAATCATAATTAATTTACTAATAATAATCCAACATAGTATAACATTATAAATATTAAAAAATGATTTATTTATATTTTTCAAAAATGCATCATAGGTCCATGTACTTATGAAAAATCTAATGTGACCCTCGTATTATTTTTCTCCCAATGTGACCCTCCAACTAAGAAAATAAACTCAATGTGCCCTTTGACCAATATTATTTCGTTGCTGACCGATACAGTATTGATATAGCAATTCACAGTGCTTAAATGACAGTCCACAATGCTGAAATAGCAGCCCACGATATTGAAATGACAATCCACAACGCTGACATTGCAATCCACGATGCTAACATGGCAATCCATGGTGGCATATTAACGTGGTGGATGACATGACATATTAGCTAAATTAATAACTCAAACATGACAAATAGACTACCACATCAACACCGAAAATCGCCACATCAGCATCGTGAACTAACACGCCAATACTATAACGGGCAACAATGAAAAAAGTCGATCAAAAGGTCACATTAGGTTTGTTTTTTAAGCTGGAGGGCAACATTGAGAGAAAATAATAAAAGGGTCATGCTGAATATTTTCAAAAGTAGAGGAACTTGTGATACTTTTTGCCTTATTTTTTTTATTGAGTGAGTGTTGTTAGTTGGTTAACACAAGCCTAGTTAAGGCCTTGTTACCTTTGGTAGCTTGATCCGTATGTGGTACAAGTCAGTTAATCTATAGCAATTAATTACGAGTCATATAATCTAGCAAAAGTTGGTGTTCATTGGACAGTAAATATACTAATCATTAATAATATAAATCTGATTATTTTCTACGAAACAAATCTTGTAGTGTATCAAAGATCCCGGAGGTGTTTTTGATTCAATATTATAGTGGTGATGGTAATGATGAATAACGACTAAAGAGTTTACTAAGACTGAAAAAGAACTTAATACCACATTAGGGTGGTTTAATTTCAAGATTGCAAAGTCAGATTGCGGATAATAATAATAATAAAAGAGAAAATACTTGGTGGGCAAATCTTTGATATTCAAAACCTACTTTATTGTGAAAAAAGCATCTCCTGATTCGTGGCTCACCATATATACCAGAATTTGGATATGAAATCACCACTAGGCTGTAGCAATCAATATTGAAACGTCAGACAAGTTCAACGGTGCATACAATCAAGATAAAGCATCCATTCAACGAAGTGAGTCAATGAAGAAATGATAATATCAGCTTCAGTAAATAAAGCAACAAAGATGTTTCTCATCCAAAATTGTATGCCACACAACTTAAGAGGTCATTTTAACCAACAAGCAAGTCAAGGTTTTTACCAGTCAATCTTCCACTTCAAAGTCTAAACATATAATCCCAGATGGAATAAACTAAATGGTCCAAGTTGAAAAGAAAAAGACCCTTCTATAAATTAAACAACCATCACATTCTTCTCTCCATCATTTAGAAAGATGAATCAATTTATGATTCACAAAATCCGCCTAACAATAATCTTAAGATAATAATCATGAACAGAACAAACAAGAAACTAAAAATGCTTGTATAGAATTCAAATAACAATATTTGATGGATATGATGGTAAACTTGGGCTGATAATAGCATGCAAGAACAAAAGCAAAGAACCGGATAAAAAAAAGCAAGTAGAAAGATATGGACATGGGCGATTAATGGGTATAGATATCATAGTGGATGGACTTTTAAGATACAGGTCACACCACATAGTGCATTTGAAATAGTAGGAATTATAGCCCAAAGAAACATTTACCATTAAGTTTGTGCCTCAATCTCTTTATTGTTATTTGTGGTCACATTTGCCTCCACTCCTTCAGCATCCTCGGTTGGTGGCTGAACCTGTTCATCTTCGGGCAGTGGTTCCTCAACATAATCATTCTCAAAAGCATCAGCCGGAACCTCATAAATCCTCACTTGAGGCTTGGCTGGATCCTTAACAAGCACATATTTCCCCTCATTCAATTTCATACACAAGTCCACAATAGATTTGACGATTGCCCACATATTCGAAGTATTCAGATTAATTTGTGAAGCAAAATCTCTTGGTTTATACCCAACAACACCCAATATGACATGGTTAAAATGATCCCTAGGATGCACTCTTGTAACATATCCCAATTTCATTAGATCCGCACTGGCTAAAATCGCTTGAGAAGTCCATTTTGCCAACTTATTTGCATTATTCTTCAACTCAGTAGCCAAAACTGCACCCCTTTGCGTCTCCAGCTTCTGCCTCCAATCAACACCAGAATACTTGGGATCAAACTCGTTCAATGCGTTCAAAGTAACGAAAGAGTTTTTGTTATTAATCTCAACAACACTCTGAACCTCACACCTTGCAACTAAATACATATCATTGTCAAGCTTCCACCTTCTATACCTATATGCCACAGAAGCCACCTCATCACCTTCATTGGCAAATGGGTTCGGCTCATCAAAAGTCACCTTATTTCCATCCCCAACTAAAACCTGCTGTGAAAAATTCTGGTTTATATAGGCCGCTTCAACACTCAACGAATAAGCAGAGTTGATATCATCTTTAGCTTCGGGTAATGGCTCCTGAGAAGTTTCGTGGACCGGCAATAAATCTAATTGCGACCCATCTCTTTTATCGAAAAAAAGTTTATTCCCAACGCGTTGAACAACAATATCCCAGGAATAAACAGACCTGGGTGCACACATTAACGTTGCCAGAATCGTATCAGTCGCAAAAACAGTGGCTTTATCCTCATTGGCCAATCTCCGGATGACCGGATCGTCAGTCGTGGTAACTTTAAAGAAGTTTCTGTTTTTGAATCTCTCCAGTCTACGTTCGTTCTTAGGGGTGATTCGATCAAAGGCCCTATTATAATACTCTAAAGCGCCGCAGAAAAGTAAGTCTTCGGGGTCGGCGACGGAAAAGGATAATTTGGAGAATGTTGAGAAGGGAATTTGTTCGAGCATGTTCCATTCCGGTTGGATATCAACGGAGGATTTGAAGATCGCAGCTTCACGACGTTGCTGGTTTTGATTGGAGCGGTTGAGATTATAAAGACGGTCGCGGCGCGCTCGCTCCTTCTCAGCCTCTCTTTTGCGGGCCTCCACTTCTTCATCTCGTCGTTGGGGGAGTTGAGGTCGGTGTTGGTTGAAACGCCACTTAGGGCCAAACTTAGGACGAGGTGGAGGCTTGGCGTCGACTAAACGAAAGGAGGAACCGTCGTCATTGGCGAGAGGGAAGGCGTCGAGGTCGAGAGAGAAATCGAAGGGAGAGTCGGCTGATCCGGCCTTCCCAGAGGAAGGGCGGTTCGATGCGTTGGCATTTGAAGATGGGAAATTGCGGGTAAAGTCGGCGATCCGGCCAAGCCTTTCGAAGCGGGAGAAAGTAGCGAAGGGGACGTGGGGAGGGAGTGTGGTGGTGGTACTCAGTGGGGTGACGGTGGTTGATTCGGGTGGTCCCCATCCGTCGGGATTGAACGGAACTGCTCCTACTTCGAAAACTCTTTCCATTGCAACTGATCACTGTATTGGATTTTCCTGATGCAGCCTAAGGGGATTAATTTAATTTAAACTCCATAATTCCGGGGATTAGGGAAGAATAAGTAAACCCTCAACGTTACCGAAACAAAATTCGATTTTAAAATTATTTTATTTTAAAAAATTATTTCTGTTAAATTTAATTATTGGTTCACTATTAAAGTTTTAATTGAATTCGAATTTTATTACATTGAAAAACTGTATTTAAAAATAATTTTGATTTTATTTTTTAACTAAAAGATTTGATTGTTTTACTATTTAATATTTTTATTTCTTTAATTTCATATTCATATTAAAAAGTAAATTTGAGTTATACACCAATATGCAACTTTAATTTATTTTCTAAAATATTTTTCTTTATATAATTTGGTACAATTTTTTATTTTCTTTTTGTTTATGTAATAAAAGTTACTAATTTTATTTTAAAAAAGAAAATATTTATAATTGTAACGAATGTTTATAACTATAAACGTAAAATAAACTCATAATTAAGATAATTTTTTTATAATCATTAACATAAAAATCAACCACTTAAATTCACACAAGGACTATAGAAAAAAATGTTAAAAAGCTAACCTAAAATACTCAAATATAAGATAGATATAAACAATCTGATCGCATTGGCAAATGAACCACAAAAGGGATCAAGTTAGTGAAAGACCATCGATAAATCGCAAATCAAAGTCGAACAACGTGAAAAAATTATTCAATGACACAAATAGCATATCTAAATTCAATTCGAGAGTCCAAAGCAAGAAAATCAACATGATAATAAATAAACGTCATAATGATCAATTGTAGCAATGACCAAACAATGACAAAAGTCATCGACAAATCGTAAATCAAAGTCAAACAATGTAAAAAAATTATTAACTGACACAAATAGTGTATTTAAATCTAGTTTGAGAGTCCAAAGTAAATAGATCAACATGATAACAAATAAACGTACAAAAAATAAACTAAAATAATGATTAAATAATCGAAAATGTATCATAAAAGTAGAAACAATGTGTTATAAAAGTAGGAGAAAACGTATCATAAAAATATACTTATTAAAAATCTAAAAAGCAAAACAAATATTTGATATAAAAAATTAAAAGAAAAATAAGAAATACCGACGACGATAATATATACAAAAGAAAATAACCTCAGTGACTAAAAATGTCTTATAATATACGATTTTAACCAACTTTTTTTGAATTTGCCAAAATGACCAACTAAATCGCAATGCGATCGATAATTCGCAACGCGATCTCCGGTATCGCAAATCATTTTCCAGATTCGCAACGCGAACTTCGACTATCGCATTGCGATTTACATATTCGCATTGCGATAGTCCAAGTTCGCGTTGATTCCAAGTTCGTTGCGATAGCCGAAGTTCGCATTGCGATTTATTCCAAATTCGTTGCGATAGTCCAAGTTCGCGTTGCGATTTATTCCAAGTTCATTGCGATAGTCCAAAATCGCAACGACGGTATTACATTTGTTTCTTAAGAATTTTCTCTAAAAAGATAGTATTCGCGCGAACGTGTCGAAGACATATACGACCACGACCACGACCACGACCCGACCCGAGACGAGACGAACGGCGGCGACGGCAACGCGCGAGAGTTCCCCTTGTTCTCTATCACTCAACAAGGAAGTGGGAAAGCCAAGCCTTAAATATCATTCTCAATAGTATTTACCAACACTTGTTACCAATACTATGTGGGATTGAGCCTTAAATAGTGATATTATTTTTGAATGTTTTGCTTAAAATTGCAATAATCGCGATTGATTGTAGATTGACTTTTAATTATGATATATTTAATCGTATAATACTAATGCAATTGGTTGCTGATTCAGTTGTTTTAAGGTGCATGATTGTTAATTGTTTCCTGAATAATCACATTGTATTGGAAACAAGTATTGGTAATGCTCAATCCCACATAGTATTGGAAACACTATTGGGAATGGTATTTAAGGCTTGGCTTTCCCACTTCCTTGTTGAGTGATAGAGAACAAGGGGGACTCTCGCGCGCCGCCGCTGCCGCCGTTCGTCTCGTCTCGTCTCGGGTCGGGTCGGGTCGGGTCGTGGTAATACTATCTTTTTAGAAAAAATTCTTAAGAAACAAATGCAATGCCACCAGTCGTTGCGATTTTGGACTACCGCAACGAATTTGGAATAAATCGCAACGCGAACTTCGACTATCGCAATGCGAATATGTAAATCGCATTGCGATAGTCCAAGTTCGCATTGCGATAGTCGAAATTCGTGTTGCGAATCTGGAAACTGATTTGCGATACCGGAGATCGCGTTGCGAATTATCGATCGCATTGCGATTTAGTTGATCATTTTGACAAATCCAAAAAAAATTGATTAAAATCGTATATTATAAGACATTTTTGGTTAATAAGATTATTTTCTCTATATACAAAGGCCGGTGCAGCTATCTATCAATGAAAAATGAAGAAAAGATAGGAAGCTTTAGGATTTTTGAGAGATAGGCCGGTTGGATTTTAGGATTATTTTTCTTTTGTTTTAAATTTTTATTAAATGTGAATTACACACCTTCGTTCAACTATAGAATATTTATGTGCCTTTAATTCTTATTCTAACATTAATTTCATTTTTTTTATAATTTCGTCTTTTTATTTTGTATTTTATTTAATTTGATTATTCGACTTCAACATTTTATAAATTTTTCTTTCTATTAATTTCATGTCTCTTTTATATTCTCATCAATTCTTTATCTTCAAAAATTTATTATTTAAAAAATAACATTATAGATATATTTTTAGGTGATATCTAATTTATTTAATAATATTAAAAATTATTATTTTCTCGTACAAAAAATAATATGAATGTATATATTATATTTAAAGAAGTTGATTTAACCCCAAAATTTATTATTTAACTTAGTTAAATTTTTTTATTTAACGTTTAAGACAATCTAAAATCAATTTATCGACTAACACTACATCGATAAATGTGGATAAATCCAAACTAAAATAAGATATGTAAGAATAATTAATGAAAAAAATCAATAACATGAAACCACTAATATTTGTTTTTGATCAAAGACTTCATGCTGGTTTAAATCTTTCTAGTCCTGACATGGATGAATGATCAATGGAGGGTACACAAGAAAAAAAACACCAATGGAGGAAATGAAAGTCATTTTTGGATTCATGATTGTCTTGGTGTGGACTTGGGATTTTACTACCCACAAGACATTGTTTTGACACCCCCCCCAATAATGCACGATTAGAGAGGGACAAAACATTTTAGACACCCAAAAATATTTTTTTGAAATAGGGTACCTTAAATTATAATCAAATACAAGTAAAGCTCTTACAACAAACAAGATGTACCCCAAACCACAACAAAACTCAAACTAACACCCATACATTTCATGTAGCAGTGAGAAATAAGAGCAAAATGAACAACAAAATCTGAACTTAAGCGAACACAACAACATTGGAGACTATCCGAACAGCAGCATAAACCAGGTACACCAAGCAATCTAAACACAAGCAGACATATCACAAGAAGAACAACAAAACTTCAAAGGACAAGCATAACATGAATCACTTCCTTTAAATGCTCCAATGAGACTGGTAATACCAAACTTATCGCTCATCCAATCTGGATTCTTCAAAGCATAACAAAAAATGGCAACTAAATCCATCCCTTTAATCAATCATCAATATGCATGCACATAAATGAAACACTGCTTTGTAAAACAAAACAATAATTGATTCCCCTTAGACAAGCCAATATGACCGAGAATTTTCACCAAAATCCTCCTGCAATACTACCACATACTCTCCATACAGTCAATAATTCTTGAGAACCATTTAAGGCAGCGAAACTAGTCCATCCACTTACCAAATTCTTTAAAAACATTGATCCTTAATTTCGGCGTATAATCTGTACAATTGGAGTAATCCACCATAAAACAGCTTGCCAACCAATTAAACTTGAACCCACAACAATTCAGATTAATAATTAAATCAATCCACTGATATCCTTACACTACGATACTATAAAAACCAACTCCAACTCCTCTAAAAAAACTACAGCAAAAACCTCATAGCCCAAAACCTTATACCTCACGCAACTCCTGACAGTCACACACCAGCTCAACACAATTCTGGTGGCTTAAGAACATCAAGTAACTTAAGACCAAGATTCTTACCTAATGGCAATGTCTCATCCGCTTCAACATAAGCAACAACCCACATTTTCTTTAAATCCGAATATGAAGGAGATCTACCAGATAATTCAGAGGAGATCTACCAGATAATTCAGAGGAGATTATATCAGATTTCAACAAATTGAATCTCTTCAAGGCTCGATCTCTTTTTTTTCTCAACTTTCGATAGGACTTTGTCCTGGATCCAATAGAGAACCAAATTTCTTCTTCTTCTTTTTATTTCTAGTGGACAGATTATTTTCACTCGAGTAAACATAAATAATCCTCTCAGGAGACTTAGATAATAATCCCTCATCCACTAGTCTGATTAAACACATCTCTTCAATCGGAATCTCCAAAAGCCTTGAACAGTTGGATAAAGACTTGGACTGCCATAAATCACAGTCTCTATTTAAATTCATGAGCTCAACACTATCGTCAATAGCCTTGTTCTTAAGCCCATCATTAGACACAATCGGCACATCATGCAATTTAACTTCAATAGCATCACACAATTCCACCTCAGAACTCACGTGCCCCCTACTTGCTGCCTCCAGAACATTAAAAGTGCCACTCCTCTGAAAAAGTGAAACATGTGCAGCTGCCCCATTATGATCTGTCTGGGGACCAATTCCATTAGCCCATTCCTCTTCGAACAGAGGACCATCACCTGCTTCCTCAGCAACTGAACACCACGCTCCACCTCCAGCAAATGAGCCATCGAACTCTCAAAACTCTTCATGAACTTCTGTTGAGATTTTTATGGAATATAATCTTCCATTGAAGACGATAGAAACTTTCTCTGGAATGTCTGAAACATATTGAACTTCCATCAAAATCCTTGCTATATCGAATCTAAACCGATTACAGGTATCGTCATCAACCAATAACACTTTACCCTACAAGCTTCCCAAATCCATGAAAAATTTATCACTCCACACTGCTAGAGGAACGTCCAGCAAGGAGATCCAGACTTTAATTTGAACTTTGTTTTCATAGCCCTCCAGCAATTCCAGCTCGTCAAACCAACGATGAACCCATACCTCTCTACTAGACCAACACTCCAGACGATCGTTTTCATTTTTGAATTGAATGACAACCAGAAGCTCATGCCAAATACTAACCTTCACATCAAAACCATCCGCCTTGAATGTTGTATGAATAATGTCTTCATTGTACATATTTTTAATTTTCCCCACCAAGCAAGTTTTACTTCACACAACCTCCTTCTCCGATAAGCAAATATACAACCTTTTCTCATCGTTTTTAGGATTTGGCCTTGAATCTATTTCTTCTTCAATCGAAACATGAATCACGTTACCCGGTACTGATTTAGTAACATGTTGAAAATTATCAATAGCTTTAACTGCCCTTCCTTCAACAATCTGCAACCCACCAAGTACTTCCTTGAACGACCTGGAAACCCTTGACAATGGCTTCAACACTTTTCTAAAGGATCTACCTTCCTCAGCCCTCTTGTTCTTAGAAGCTCCGAAGTAATCATGAAAGACTCTAATCTTAAAACCATCCAAGATCCTACCATCTGTCCTATGGACTGTTGTGTCTGCTTCATGTTTGCTTATGAATCTAACAAAAGCAAAAGTAGAACAGCCTGTGAGTCTTCTTCAACTTTTATACGCTATGAACACCCCAAATTATTACAATCCTTATTCAATCAATGCGAATGTTTTCAAAGTAGAGCATAGACGCACACACACACATGAGAACATAAAATGGTTGTTCTCCACTTTGGTTTCCCATATTCTTTATGTATATCCATATATTACGAACCCCTTTTATTTGAACCATGTGTCTTAAAGGAACAACCTCGAAACATCAACATCAAATATCCCAAATAGGAAGGCTTTGAAGTGAAATGAATGAATTAATTAATTGTGCTTTTTCTGTATAAATAATGTTAAGGCATTTAAAACAAAGAAATTTGAATATTAATCTTGAGTTTTAGAGGCGAAAAATAAAGCAATAAACTGCATGGTTAGCCAAAACGATGGTTGGATCTAGGGCTGCAAATGAGACGAGACAGATCGTGAGCTACTCGAGATCGACTCGATCAAGGCTCGATAAATACTCGGATCGAATGGACTCGACTCGAGCTCGAACTCGACTCAAGTTCTTAACGAGCCGAAACGAACTACTCGATATTCGACTCGAAAAGTTCGTGAGTAGCTCGAAAAAATTTTATATTATAATTTCAGATTTTTTAAAATTACATTATTAAAAATATATTAAAAATATATTATTGATAATTATAAAATTTTAAAAATATATTAAAAATTTTATAATACAACTACCCTCAAATATTAATTTTTTTAATTAACTAGCCCAAGTCTAATTGTTACATTGTATATTACTAAAAGAAAAATAAAAGTTCATTTAATTAAGCACAAGTTAGATTACATGTGTTTGTTTGATTTTTTTCTTTCTTTTTTAACTTTTTACTGTACAAGTACTTGACAACGTAAAAAAATAAAATAAAAAATAAGAAAAAACAACCAAACAATAGAAAAATTAAAAATGGTTAATTTGTTTTGAATAAATAATCTTATATTTATTTATTTTAATTAATAAAAAAATTTATTTATCTAATGACAAATATTTAATATATTTCTAATGACAAATATTTAATATCAAGATACTATATTGTACTTACCTCATAAATCGGTACCAAGTCGATTAATTAATGTATTTGTAATGAACCCTAAATCTTAAATCCTAAACCCTAAACCATATATCATAAAGTATAACCCTAAACTCAAAACCCTAAACTTTAAAACTCAAATCCTAAACCCTAAGTCCTAAATCCAATTATGTAATAGGGGTTAAGTTATGCAAATGAAGGTAACATACAAATTATGCAAAATGATGTTATGTGACTCCTAAATAAATCATTCACATACTTATACATAAACATATCAACATACAAAATAAATATACACTGACTATCGACACGAATTTCAAGAAGATGTTAAACCAAAAAATGAAGAATGTTTGCAGGATTTAGAATTGAATTATAAGCAAATGGCTATAAATAAGGAGCAAAGGATATATTTCAGCCAAAATTGATGATTATTAAAAGAAATAAAACAGGGTGTTCTTACAATGACAAAATCACAAATTAGCATACTTAAGTTGAAAAAAAAGTGTGCTTTGCTGAATCCAACCAGTTTCACCTAAAAACATAAAAAGACCTTACAATTTGAGAAATCAAGATTTAACAAGCTCATAATATGAAATTCTGTGATAAACCCTTACAAAGAGTAAACTTCGTGTATAGAGAGTGCAATTAGAATAAGCAACCATTATAGAAAGAGTTTTCATTTCTAGTCATCATACATTTAATACAACGTTATCCACCCATAACTGATAGAAGAACATACATGCACATAACTAAAATTTCATGGAGCAGAGACGAACCCCAATATCTTGTAAGGTTTGCTCAAACCGTTTGACAGCCCGAAGACCCGCAGATGAGCTTGTAGCTTGGACCATTTGCTCTAGTGCATAAGTTCTCAATATACCCTAAGCTAAAAATTATATCAAAGAAGTCAAAGAACTCTACACGAGCAAAAAGAACCAGTAACACTTTAGAAAATCAAAACAAACTTTCTTCCATACAAAAAATTCCAAGAAGTAATCGCCTTAGGTACTAATCAGACCATAAAAATATTGGAAGTAAAAAGAAATGAAATATCAAAAGTGAGAACATATAGTATAAGTCAAATTAAAAGTTTTACTGATAACATAAGTCATTTCTCATTCTGAAATTTTTTTTAGTCTTTGATGGAGAAAGAGAAGAGAAAACAGAAGACCACATGCTGCACATACCATATACAAGGAACCAAGAGTAGAGGAATTATCAACAATTACTGAGGTTGAAGGTGCAGTAGGAACTTGAACATTGGATAGAGATATAGTATCTCCAGGACCGATAGCCCTCTCGGCACTTTCAGGATCGATATCTGAGATAATGGGCAAATCAGGTTCTTCAGCAGCCACAATAGCAGCTTGTTCAGATGATACATACCCATGCAGCCATACGTGACTCAACTATTCTTTTTGCTTCTGCAAGAACCTGCATAATAAAACTATAGACCAGTGAAGAACTCTAGACGTTCATCCAACAAGCCTATACGCAAATAAAAGAAGGAAAAACCACATAATAAACAGCAGTAAAATGTTTCAAATAAAAAAATGCACCTCAGCGTCTTTCTGCTCCTGGTGTTTTTGATATCCCACATCGGTGGTTTTTGGGGAATAAGGGGTAAAGTGAGTGTATAAAAGGGGATGCGTTTCAACAAATAAATATTAACATGTTTTTGAGCTTGAATCGAGCTCAAAATCAAGCTCAAATTTGAGCTTCAATTGAGTTTAAGTCTCGAGCTTCAATCGAGCTCCTGAATTTATTTTTGAGTTCGTGCCTTTTCGAGTCGAGTTTTCAATATTATGTTTTGAGTTCGAGTCGAGCTTAAAAATTTTAGGTTCATGAGTTTTCGAGTCGAGTCGAGCTTATATTTAAAGTTTTCGAGTTTGAGTCGAGCTTGGCAATACTCGAACTCGATTCGGCTTGTTTACACTCTTAGTCGGATCTGCAGGTGCAGATCATTCCATAGTTCCATATGATGGACCATCTTCAACATCATACTAGAGCATGGGAAATGAAATGACAAAACCTATACAGGATCAAGAATTTATTGTAGACTAAATTTGTGAAATATTTTTATTGAATTTTTAGGAAATAATATTGTTTATAATTTATTTATGAGTTTGAGATAGTTTGTACAATGATCTGAAAAGTTTTCGTCAGTTGTCGACGATTGTAATATTTTTTTTTACAATTTTAGGATCAAATTAAATGAGAATAAAAATACATGAACTAAAATATTTTTTACAAGGAAAAATCCATACTATTTTTCAAGATTTATGCACTGGTAAGACTAAATGTGTTTAAGTTATCGCTGTTTTCTTTCTAAAAGATATCGTTCTGGCCTTTAGTTTTGAATTTTTCATCAATAGTTTTAAACCTTTGAATTTGTCGAACTTAAACATTTAATTCTTTTTTACATAAATTATAATTATTTATAAGAATTTGATACGTATACTTTTGTTGCAAAAAATATAAAAAAAATATTTTGATTTTCATAATTTTATTTTTTAATTCAATCTATATAATAAAAAATAAAATTACAATCAATCAAACTCATCTGATAACTTCCACTGACTTGGACAATGCTGAGGTAACTTAAAATGAACAAATATTATTTTTCACGTTGAGTTAAACACCCAGTTTTATTTTAAATTTTAAGTTTTTTTTTTTATTTTATGTCTCTATAATTTAAATGATCTTTACTGATTATATTACATTCAACCTATCTCTCTAAATAATTTCTTATAACCATCAAAAAAGAATTAACAACAATATTTCACTAATTAAACCTATATTATTTAACTTCCTAAAAGACTTGAGAGAAAGATCACTTAATGTCTATCGAAAATACGTAAAACAATATATATATAGAACGAGTGAAAGATCAACATTAATAAATTTCCAAGCAAAAGCAAACATCATATAAAAGTACTTACTAATGTTTTAATCCTTAGTTTAAGTAGGTTCTAATGTGTAGGTTACTTGTTTCACATAGAAACTTGAAACATCATAGTCAATAACACTAGCAAGAAGGAGCTTGATCTGTCAGAATAGGGTAATTCAGATTGTTTACAAACCAGCTCTCATGCATCAGCAGCAGCATCGACAAACTTGTTCAGTCTCTCTGATATCCTGGAAGCAGCCTCATAATCTGGTGCCGATTCATCCCCAATCTACACAATTTCCCAAATAGATTAAAACATTCCCTCAACTTTGATGAAAGTGAGAGCAATTAAAATGGCTACCGTAAGATGTATAGTATGGAAAACAGTATCGTCAACGACAGAGAAACTGGCACTTGCAATCTCGGCTCCCTCTTCGTGAAGAATACGAATTGTGTGATTAAAAATAAATCGACTACTGTTGGTGTCGGTTGTTAACCCGATCACCAACGATGAACCCATTTCATGAATTTGGATTTCAGGAGATTTCGGTTCATTACTCCTGCCGCTTGTTGTTGTATTCTTCCACCTTTCAACTCCCATTAAGCTGTCTTTCTTTTGCTTCATTCTCTCCAAATCTGTCTGCAACTTTTTTATATATTTTGCTGCTTCTTGAAGCTGCTCTGGCAGTGTTGTTGGCTCCTGTGAAGAAAAGAACATTTCAATCATCGTGCAATGCAGAAAAATAAAGAGATTAATGAGAGAATATTTAACAGATATTAAGGAAAGAAAGAAATTGCATGAAAAGAGAAAAACCCTAGGTTTATGATGGGGTAAGAGAGCATGGAGCTCGGAACAGAGAGCTTTCATGCGAGTTCTCCTGTCTCTCTCGATGAGTTTTCTATCTGGTCTCGAGGAATCATTAGGGTTGTTGTTCTCCATGGATATTATTGAATCAATACTCTCTCTTTGGGAAACAGATAGTCAAAGAGCAGCTAACAGATAAATAGTTGATGTGTTTACTGATCTCTTTGTCGTGTTAAAGCCTTGAAATAAAGCTTCCCCTAGCAGAAACTGAATGCCAATTGGGAAAAAAAAAAAAAAGCTTCGCTGATATGAACAAAATGGTGGGGTTGAGTGGTCCGTCACATTGGCCATTTTAATTTACAAAAGCTGTTGTTTCAATTCTGGATTTAAAACTTCGAGGCTTTAAAGATTTACAGCACATGCCAATCATAAAAAAAATAATTTTTAACTCGTTGGTTATTTTATATGAATTTAGTTTACATAATTTTTTCTATTTAATATTATTTATCTTATTCAAGATTTAATAATTTTGATTTAAGATGAAATAAATTAGATGTTATAGTTAAGAATTTTAAAATTTAATACTAAAATAGATAAGATTGTATAAATGAAATTTTATAGTATTTATTTAAAATAATTTCTCACTTTAAATCGTAACAAATGTGGGGATTTTGGTATTGGATAAACCTTTGACATTTATAAATGACCTTTGGCTTAGGATAAAATGAAAATGTTAAGGATGGGTTATGCCATAAACAGTAAGGGTAAATGGTATTGAATATGAAAGTTGAGTTTTTGTTGTCGGGGGATTTTGCCTTAATCATTCTTCTCACATCTAGCTGACAAGAATTACTTGTTTGAATCCTTGTGGAGCCAAAACTGGGAAAAATTATGGGTAAAGTATAGTAATGGTCACTCAATTTTTTTGGCACTTGCATTTAGGTCCCCCAACTTTTAAAACTTGCAATACAGTCCTCCAACGTTTAGTCCGTTTGCAATATGGTCCCCGATGTAACCGGCCGTTTGACGCCGTTACACTGCCATTAGTACGTTTTCAATATGGTCACTGAAATTTTCAGGTGCTTGCATTTAGGTCCCCCAACTTTTAAAACTTGCAACACATACCTTAATTTCATTCTAAACCCCAAATTCCTTTTCGATCTCGAATTTCCTTTTTCGATTATCTCTTCTCATTTCCAGCATAACTTTTCAGTCGAGGATGCATGGGAAATTCTAATCTAACTTCAAATTCTGTGGAGGTGTTGATTTGAATAAGGGTCCATTGAGAAAAGTCCAGGTTAACTTTTCAGTCAGGGATGCATGGGAAATTCTAATCTAACTTGAGCAGCTACTTGATATGTTGCCCGGTCATTGCAAATTTGCACCTTAATTTCTAGCATATATATGTTTGTTGCAGTGTCCTCTATGTTTCACAGTGTCTTTTATTGCTGACATGCCATGAATTTACAAGAATTATAGGGTCCTATGATTTTAGTTCCGTTATCTGCTTTAGATTCTCATCATGTTTGGCTATTGAGGATCATTAAAATGGAGCATTAGAAGCAATTATATGTTAAAAGGATAGGCCATTAATGCATTTGCAACTGATAATGTTTTATTTGGCATCTAATCTCTATCTTAAACAACCCATTTGACACATTAGCTTTTGGAGTGACTATGGCCGAACCTCTTTCCCTTTATTTATTAAGTCCTCATTTTGAATGAGTTATCAATTGATATTCTTGGTTTATTTTAGTTATTGCTTGGTTGTATGTTGTAGTCTTATGAACTAAAACTCTTTACTATTTTCGCAGCCGTTGGATGTGCATGCTCAAGTTCCATCCAAACCTATTGGATTGTCATACCAAAGTGCGGCAGCTACGAACAAGACAAATTGGCCTTATTACTTTTACTTCAATGGTTTATGCAATAAACGTGATAGGTGCACTTTTCATGTTCAAAAGTACAGCAGTCATTGGATGTGCATGCAACAAACCTCAAATTAATATTAAAGTAAACACTATCAAATAACAAATTCATGTTCAAAATTCCAAAACACTTCATTTACATTCTAAACCCCAAATTCTAAAATATTTCAATTACATTATAAACCCTAAATTAAAGTATTTTAGAATTTAGGGTTAGAATGTAATTGAATTATTTTGGAATCTGGGGTTTAGAATGAAATTGAGGATTGTGTTGTAAATTTTAAAAGTTGAGGACCTAAATGCAAGCGCCTGAAAATTCAGTAACCATATTGCAAACGGACTAAATGTTGGAGGACTGCCACGCCATCTTCTTCTAACGGAAGTGTAACGGCGTCAAACGGCCGGTTACGTCGGGGACTATATTGCAAACAGACTAAATGTTGGAGGACTGTATTATAAGTTTTAAACGTTGGGGGACCTAAATGCAAGCTTTAGAAACGTTCAGTGACCATTACTATATTTTACTAAAAAATTAATTAGATGGACTCGATTATCCATGGTGAGGCTAGAATGGTGACGACCTGTCCGTGTAGTGTAGGGAGTAAAACGGACCACGTCACTTACTTTTAGTTCTGTGGTCCTTAACCCCAACATACACATTCTTATTCCTTGCTTCATCTTTCCACTACTTGGGAATTGTTATTTACTATCATCTTAAAAGCAAGAGTTCATCCTATTTTGAATCTTTTTTCGAAGCTCCTACCACTTTAAACAATTTTCTTCTTCCTCTCTTTCGAAATCCATGAATTAATGGTGTTTATTTTTTTTTAAGAATCTTTTGTTATTATATCACAAACTCAACCACCAACAATAATATTTTTTTTACTTATAGTTACCTCGGTTGTTCAAAATCAAATGCATAATCTTCTCAACAGACAATAAGTAGTCGTTGTATTTGTGAAAGCCCGTCTCATCCAGGGTGATGATGGTCTCGTTGTAACTAGAACATTCCATTCCATTCCACACCTTTGGATTTCATCCACTAAATTTTAACTTTGGACTTCAAAGTAAGTATTTATTCAATTTCTTTTCGCATGATATATGTACTGAAAATGTCCTTGAAATATTATATTCTTACCCAATTATTTATAAACTATTAAATATTCTAATGACATATTTTAATGATGTCTAGTTAATCTTATTAGTATCGATGATCGACGATGGGCAACTAATAATCACGGCTACCTTCGTTTATAATTTTTTTTTATAAAAAAAAGCATAATAACTACATATTTTCGGTTAGTGATTCAAAAAATAACTCAAAAGTTTATATAATTTCATGATCAAAACAAGACAAATTTTAAAATTTAAAAGTAATCAAACTTATTAAAACGTAGTATTAAAGTAGGCCCAAACTAGCACTGATAGATGGGCTTCGCTGAAAAAATCCAAAAGAAATCTACAGCTTTAGTTACAAAGCCGCCAACAAGAACGGGTCAGAATAGAACACATTGACATTGACACTGACATTTGCTATTTGGTAGGGATAACCAGCCGTCCAATTACAAACCGCTTAACAATTAATGTAGACCAAGTTTGTTACATTGTACCTACACAAGATTGGGACATGGCCGCCTAATTCAAAGAATTTGTTTTGCATTACTTTGCCCTTTGACTTTTTTAATAAATATAAAATTGACAGTTCAGTGAAGATATGACTACAAGGTAGTTGATAATTATAACAATATATGGATAAATATTTATAATGATGTGTTTCAATATATTTTTTTTATAAAATATTATCTTAGTTTGATTAACACAATAACTATGACAATCATAAAATAGCTAGTAACTTTTAATGATTTTATATATAAAAAAATCTTAATTTGATTAATACCATATTATAAAAATCATGAATTCAATCGTGCTTAAACGGCTATTTCCATCTAAAGGGTTATGCCTCTGTAAAAAATAACAAAAAAAAAAACCCCAACTTGATGCATGTCATTGCCTACCAATCTATTTCATTCACTCCCACAAGAATGTGACATATGAGGTACAAATAAAGCAGCAGCAGCTCGAAGCTTTTAATTACAAACGACCCGGTGACACTAGAAAAGCCAGGTCCAAATAAATATTCATGAGAACTTAGGTTTAAGCATAGGTGGAGAATAGACATAAGAGTGAGGGTTGTGTGCAGGACCAAGCTTTTGAATCCAATGAAGCAGCCGTTTCTTATGATCCTGGCAGCTTGGGTTCGCTACCAAATTCAGGGTGCCATCGCGATCGAGCAACAACTCGAATTGCTCCAACACCTTCACTATCTGCCAAAACTCCGGCCTCTTCTCCGGGTTTAATGACCAACATTGCTCGATTAAAGCTCGCATGGCGGGTGGACAGTCTTTGGGGATAACAGGTCTCAAATTCTAGTAAAAACACAACTTCTGATATCAGAATTACAGATATAATCAAATAAAACCTTCCCAAGTCAACACGTCATTCACAAAGATGCCACAATTACATTTCAGTTCGCCCATGTAATGCAAGTAAAAATTTCAAGTAGAATAATCTCTGATAATAGCCATGTACCCAACTTCCGAAATGTCATCCAAACAATGTACAGTTAAAGATTGGAAAACTGTGATGCTGCCTTCTTATTAAGTATCTATTGTTGTCTCCGAATGGTGTTAGAATAGCCACATATTGATATGATTTTTATCTTCAGTTTAAACTGTATTCCGAATACAGTCTAAAATTCAACTGTAAAGACTTTCGATGCAGTCATATTCCATATTATGCACACCAAGATTTCAATCTTCAGTTGATTAGATGATCAAGGAGATGAAATACCATTTAAAAATGTCTACAGTGTGTGTGGAAGTTCATTCTCAATGAAAATTTTTACAAGGCCTGAATGAAATGAGGACATTAATATCATGCACTAGAATGATGATATTTAGGGACATACCTTGTTCACAACTGCAAAAGCAGCTTGCATAGGATTCATATCCTCATATGGGATCGTTCCCGCCATCATTTCCCACAAGACCAGTCCGAAGCTATACACGTCCACCTTCCTTCCATACGATTTCTTTTTTATCATCTCAGGTGCCATCCAACGATAAGTCCCGGGGTCATCGGCCAGTAGATCACAATATGCCTCCTCACAAGCTATACCAAAATCAGCAATTTTCATGTGGAATTCCTGATCAATCAGGATGTTCTCTGGTTTAAGATCGCGATGAATGACTCCTTGAGAATGAATGTATTCCATTCCACAGGCAATTTCCAGAGCAATAACGAGTAACTTCTTCAATGGAAG